CGTGATGAAATTCGATGCAGAAGAGTCACAGCTTTTTTTTAATTCCAAAGGACTCATTATCTTATAAAAAAAGTAGGGTGAATTTTCAAAAATCTAGCCAAGCATTTTTTTTACAATTTTGATTAGAAATTATGACTCGAAACAACGCCATCATCGTCTTTTTAAAATATTTTCACATGGAAAATAAATTATGTTTGCTTCTTAAACATAGGCCAAACGTGATGAAATTCGATGCAGAAGAGTCACAGCTTTTTTTTAATTCCAAATTTTTGTCCAGGCCAAAACAGCCCCTTAACACTAAAACTACCGACAATTATGTATTTATTTGTATAAAAAAAATCATTGTTTTATAAAAAACTGGGGTGAATTTTCAAAAACCTAGCCAAGCATTTTTTTGACCATTTTGATTAGAAATTATGACTCGAAACAACGCCATCATCGTCATTTAAAAATATTTTCACATGGAAAATAAATTGTTTGCTTCTTAAACATAGGCCAAACGTGATGAAATTCGATGCAGAAGAGTCACAGCTTTTTTTTAATTCCAAATTTTTCTCCAGACTAAAACAGCCCTTTAACACTAGAACTATCGACAATTATGGTTTATTTATTTGTACCAAAGGAATCATTATCTTATAAAAGAACTAGGGTGAATTTTCAAAAATCTGGCCAAGTAAGTTTTTCACAATTTTTATTAGAAATTACTAATTCGGTCATTTTGATCACTTTTGTAGTCCCATGCGTATTCACGATCGATTTAACGAGCGAATATCGAGTATCCTTGCAGTTTGAAACGTCGAACAGGCGATCGAAACGTTATTTTCTTCGATTCGATGTGTCCGAGATTCTGGACACTCGGTGACGTTTATCAGAACGCCGTTTTCTCCCTGATATCGCGCGCTGTTGATTTGCTAAACGTTCTCGAGGATCTACGCGGAAGTTTGTATAATATCTGTGATTCATTCGGGCATGGTACAGTTCCAAGTCGAGATTCGTCCCGTTAGGGTTTAATCTGCGCTCGCTGCGGCTGATCGGAGGAAAACATTGCCTCGACGACACTGGCGGCTGCTTCGGTGCAAAACTTGGCGCCTCAATTAGACGTGAGGTGATTAAATTTTAGAATTTTCGATATATTTCTTTTGGGTAAGGTTATCGAAGGATTAATTATATCTAGATTGATCGTAAATGTTGAAGTATCTACGTTGATTTCCGTTGGAATTCATTTTTTCTTTTTAAAACAAAAGCAAGCGGCTTTGCTCGAAATTCCACGTTTTGCTTATTTTCAAACGATATCATAACAATAAGAATATTAACAACGCGCCTTTATTGCGCACAGGTACGCGCAAAATACACAAAGGAAAGGAGTACGAGTAAAAGATCTACCAATTACAGAAAATATTCGTTTCAGAGGAACGCTTATCTACAAAAGCAATATTATGAGAGATTTGAGGCTTTCAAGGTCGGCAATTACAACGTATAAACAGACGATAAACAGCAATTAATTTGCCACTTAATTTCTGACTAGCTTCGTCGTGAATATTAAAGGCGATCTTAAAGAATTCGAGATGTAATTAACAACAAGAAAAACGTTATTTCGAATCGAGTTTGAATGTCTGCGCCAAAAGGGGACTCCCAGTCGATATACATATGAACAACGAACGAATAATCAAACGAATCTAATCGAAGTAAACGTAAGAAAAAAAAAATGAAGTTATGTTCGTTCAACTTTTACGAAATTTTGGTTACCTTCGTACCTTGTATTTTTCCCCCGTGTTTATTTATTCAATTATATCCACGACCGATAATAATACGTTTGCTTTTACTCGTTACATTTTTTGCCCAGGGATTGTGCTTGTATATTGCATGTTTCGTACGTGCGCGAGCAATTGATAATCTTAAAAATGAAATAAATTTTTTTCCCCGATGTCGATGGAATATAAATACCGCCCGCGGGACCGATAACCTTTATATCTTTTCTAAAATGTGTGGAACGAGTCGCGCGTACACTATTAAAAATCATAACGGCTACGCAGCAGCGGGCATATTTGTTAAATATTGCTTCGTGCCTCTGATTTTTACTATTCCCGCGACCACACCTAGCAATTTTCCTCTGACATGGTCGACTCTCGTCTGACATTTTTCGAGCACGTGTCGTTCAGCTGCAACAAGCGCGCGTGCATTCTTCTATTCAATAAAGTAGCCTGTGTAGCATAACTTTAAACTATCTACGACGACATAGTGGCCCGAGGACATTCTGGGTCAAATGTTTCTGCTGGATACAGGGTCCTCACAGTTATTTGTTTCCAAAACGTGTACTTCTCACGTTCTAATTAATAATAATTACTAGAAAATAAAATTCAAATAACGGTCGTTTTTCATACACGTATCGTAAATAGTATGTTACAAATTCTGAATAATTGGTGGAAGTAAAAATAATGGAACGCAATTTATTTATTTTCTGCACGAAATATTTCATGAAACAATGGTATTATTTCAAAATTAATAATATATATCAATAAAAATTATTAGAAAATAAAATTCGAATAAGAGTCGTTGTTTTTCATACACATATCGTTAATAATATGTTAAAAATTCAGAGTGATAATTTTGGTGGATGTAAAAATAATCGAACAGAATTTATTTATTTTCTGCCTGAAATATTTCATGAAACAATGGTATTATATCAAAATTAATAATATATATCAATAATAATTATTAGAAAATAAAATTCGAATAAGAGTCGTTGTTTTTCATACACATATCGTTAATAATATGTTAAAAAGTTCTGAGTGATAATTTTGGTGGATGTTAAAATAATCGAACAGAATTTATTTATTTTCTGCCTGAAATATTTCATGAAACAATGGTATTATTTCAAAATTAATAATATATATCAATAATAATTATTAGAAAATAAAATTCGAATAATAGTCGTTGTTTTTCATACACATATCGTTAATAATATGTTAAAAATTCTGAGTGATAATTTTGGTGGATGTTAAAATAATCGAACAGAATTTATTTATTTTCTGCCTGAAATATTTCATGAAACAATGGTATTATTTCAAAATTAATAATATATATCAATAATAATTATTAGAGAATAAAATTCGAATAATAGTCGTTGTTTTTCATACACATATCGTTAATAATATGTTAAAAATTCTGAGTGATAGTTTTGATGGATGTAAAAATAATGGAACGCAATTTATTTATTTTCTGCACGAAATATTTCATGAAACAATGGTATTATTTCAAAATTAATAATATATATCAATAATAATTATTAGAGAATAAAATTCGAATAATAGTCGTTGTTTTTCATACACATATCGTTAACAATATGTTAAAAATTCAGAGTGATAATTTTGGTGGATGTAAAAATAATCGAACAGAATTTATTTATTTTCTGCATGAAATAATGGTGTTATCTCGGAAACAGATTATTTCTCGAATAACTTTGAAAAGTAATATTAAAATCCCTTGGTCTGGTGTGTAATTTATAACTTTGCGCAAAGTATCCTTCTCATTCTTTGCATAGTGATCGATTCCGACTTCTTTGGCGCGGATAGATCGTTTTTAAGGATTTAAATAGCAGCGAGCCAATATCTAGGGTACGAACTAAAGTATTACGTCGAACAAAAGCAATTTTGCCAGAACAATATTTCGAAGTAATATGTCTGTTAAAAGTTGGGCCGGGTCAACATGTAGTGTACGAGAGGAGCGATCAATTCTCTCGAAAATTGGAACAAACTATTTAGCGATATTTCGTGGTACTTTGACCAATTCCAGCTTGTCCGAATTACGCGTTACCTCTAATTATTAGTAGCTGACATTTGTCCCTTTCCATTTAGTTGAACCAGAACAATCCAGATGTGTGTTTTTTCTCTCTCGACACACTACATTGTAGCTAATGGTCTGGAAAAAGAGTTGGTCTACAAAATTCCAAGGTCTCCGTGTATTCGAATTGTGCAATATGCATTTTTATAATCAGCCGCACCTGAACGACACTCTAATCGGGGCGTCGATTAAAACCGAAATCGAATCGGAGAACCGCGCTCGTTCCTTTCCCGTTTCAAAACCAGCGTACGTGTATAATTTACAAGTATGATAATACACTTATTTACGCTGTGGCCGGCCTCCCGGCCTGAATGACGTGTCTGAACCGATTGAACACTGTGCAAACATAATACATAATTAAATCGCGCGTTACGTAGATAAAGAATGCTACTCTTCGTCGCGCGAACACAGTGGCTTTACAGAAATCTTCGTCGTGTTTTGGTACTTCGACTATCCGACAATTCGACGATTTCCTACGACTTTGAAAGCCAACCTTTAGAAAATTAAACACTGATGCAAGAACTTTAACTTAGAATGACATACAGTGGAGTTTCGGTTATCGAGGCACGCTTAACCGAGATCTCGTATCATTCGAGGTGCTTTGAACTTTCGTAGATATCCGTGAAACGTAACAATAAAAAAACGGTTGTGTTAAACAAAGATCTATGACTGTTCATTCTTGTCAAAACTTGCGTGCAATATTACGTTATCAAAATGTTTTTTCGTGATTTTATTCCACGATTTACGAACACTTCCTTTATAATGTAATGAATAAATAACTGTTAGTTTCATTTTATAATTTACATCGTTTCAGTGTTAATTCGTTTTTATTCTACGTTCGTTAAGTGTCTGGTGATTGTATTCTTGATATTACCAAATACCAAAATGTTTGGTCCACAAGGCACTCAGAGAAGATTTAACACATTGATTGCCAAACCGAAACCATAAAATGTTGATTTCAGACAATTGTAAACTACATAACTTAAAATTTGTCTAAAATTTCTGAATCAATATTCAAATTTATTTCTATTAACCTTTTTGACTTGGGAATCAATTGTTTTAGTTCCATAGTGAAAAGTCCTGCCACGTGGCAGTTAAAGCTTTTTATGCGATCGAGGGTTGATCGAATCGGATGGATTTGTATTTAATTTCGGTTACAGTCAACCGTGGACGACGATGGCGTCGCTGGGGAACAAAGCGGACGAGCAAGTCGCCAAGCCGCAGCAGAATGGCCGCAGTCGCAAGAACGAGGAGCTGCAGCTCGAAGACATTCAGGACAACAATAACGAGGTAGGAGCGTTATTGATCGATGCAAATGAAAACGTGTCGGGATCGATCGATCGATGTCGCGTCACGCGTACGCGATCACGGATCGACGGAGTCGTGGGTCGATCGTTTCGTACCTCGAGGCATCGATATCTCGAAGTCTCGAGACTCATCGATTTCCATCGATCCTTGACTTAAATTGATTTTTCCTTGAAGACAAGCCAATTTAAATGTGCGAACTTTCAATTTACTGAGTTTATTGCACAATAGCGGTTTCGTTGATGCATATTTCGAGAGTACTCACAATTATTTTCCATCAATTTTACGAGTTCTATGGACTATGAATGCGTTCGATCCCTTACTGCAATACAATATCAATATTTTTTAAATAAATTTTATCCTTATAGGTTATGAATGCATATATGCATTTATTAATTTTTTCGAACTCTCACTGCAACACAATTATCAGCGTTCTAAAAATAAATTTTACTATTTAAGTCAGGGTGTGTTTTACATTTTGACGTATCAAATAAAATAATTTATAATTTAGTTGCGGTTTGCATAATCAATCAACAGAGTCCTCACTAATGTACAGTATTTAGTCTCTAACGAATACTTTGGCGAGGAGTATTCAGCACTCAAAGGGTTAAAAGTAACAACAATCGTAGGAGTTATTGAAGCATATGTATCAGGTGTTTTAAATAATATGGTATTAACACAATTGCGGCTCTTCTGCTTATCTAAAGTAGATCAATCAAAAAGTATTCTATTCTATACAATATAACGATGTAAAAGTATAGGAATAGTTTCCAATTTAAACAAAAATTGTCTCCAAAAGTTCAAGAAATACCTCACACACGGTAAACAGCTCATTTCGACCGAATGCACGCGTTTCCCGCAAAAAAATTCGTGAAAGTATCGTTCGTTTCGGGCCCGTTAAGGTGACGTAACCTCTGAATGCTCGGTCGGTACGGTCGAACGGGCCCAATTTTCCGTCGATGGCTTTGTCGGTCTCTGAAAACCGCCTGGGTGAACTTGCGAAACAGAGGCTCGTCGTACTCGACACTCCTTCAAGAGATTACCGGGGCGAACCGTTGATATTGTTGCACGAGACGACTAAAAATACTCGCGGCTGTAATACTGTACGCGGTCTTTTCGACGTGGATACGGTATCAGCGTCACATGGCACCGCAGTTTGATAACTCGACGGAGTTTTGGGTCACGCGCTTACCACCGAAACGCGAAAGTTGCTCGCTTTATGCGCGGCCTTGATCTCAAGCAACTTGTGAATTTCCACGGGCGCCGATGTTGAAACGCACGTCGAACGATGTAGCACACCGACGAACACGAATCGCGCGCGTTGTTCGGAAAGCTGTACCCGCGGTGCTCTTTTAAGCTCGAAATGTCGTCGATTCGTGGACGTTGCGAATTTTCTTTCGGTGGACGCGAATGGAAAATGAAGCTTATCTTCCCGTTTGTTTGCCGCTTCGGAGCGATACGGAACGCCCGGGGAAAACGGTGGAAAAATCGTGGCGTTTCGTGGAGTCAACTGGCCTCTTGTTCACCAATATGACGCTCGAAGGGAAGCTCCGATAGTTGATATTTTCGTGGACGAAGTAGCCTTGAAGGTGCATTCAATGGTCAAACTCAGATTGTGGAGTTACTGTTGTATTAACCTTAACGAATCTCCATTTTAGTTATTTTTATTAGAGTTTCAAAATTCACAATTTGATCTTTGATGTTACAGTTTTCGTTCTATAGTATTTGAAAGTCCACGTTTGAGAAATGTGAAAAATGATGAACCACAAAATAGCCATAATATTTGGACGGAATTTCTATATTTGTTAAATTACATATAATACATTTGTCAATAGTTGTGCAAAGCTATCGAAGACAATATATGTTTGTAGAGATTAAATAAAATTTAATTACCATTATTGAAGGTTAATAATGGTAACCGAAGGGGTCAGGACCATTTTGTTCGTCGAGATGCGAGCTTTCCCGTGAGAATTTTCTGGAAACATGTTGACAGAGCATCGAAGTCGAGATGGTGGTGCCGCCGGATGGAGGATGGGGTTGGGTGATCGTGGCTGCCTCCTTCATGTGCAATCTCTTCGTGGACGGTATCATCTTCAGCTTCGGAGTGTTCCTGAACGACATCTCCGAGGCTTTCGCTGTGTCCAAGGCGAGGGTCGCGCTGGTCGGCTCGCTGCAATCAGGATTTTATCTTATGGCTGGTCAGTGACTACGCGAATGTATTGTGCGTCCGCGAGAAGTTGGCTAACAGAAGGAATGTGGGTCTGATATTGGTCCCCCATTCTAGTTTCGAAAGTGGAGATTGATGGAGCAAGAGAAGTACAGTAAAATTCCGATTATCCGGCATACTCCAGACTGAGGTAATGTCGGATAATTGGACTATACCTACATATGAAGTGATAAAAACGAAGAATATAATCATAGACTAGCTATACGAGTAGACCTTACAACCAATGTTTTTTCCACCCGTTTTACTGGGGCTCTAGAGCCTCATTATCATTCTCGTGTCATTTGCAACATTCCCAACAAGTTACACAAATTAACAGAAAAGGAAGTGAGACAGAAAATGAAATTGCAGAAACGTTTCTGGCCTGAAATTATATTTTCGCCAAAGAATTTTTTTCTCGAAAATGCGTAGGATTTCGGAGGTATGCGTATTGACCAAAAATGATTGTAATTGACCCCTGCAACCAAAAATAATTTTTTCAAAACGATTCGATATTTTTTAATTTTGTCGAAAAATATGTCCACCTACTGAATTTTTTTCTCAAAAGTGGATAGAATTTCCGGGGGTATGTGTAATGACCAAAAATAATTGTAATTAACACCTCTAACTAAAAATAATTTTTTTAGAACGATTTGAAATTTCATTTTTTCGTAGAAAAATTTGAGCAGCTATCCCCCGTCGATTTTTCTTAAAAATTTTGGTTGGCGTTCTGCAGAAAAGTTGTCTAATACTTTTTTGTAGGTACCCATAAGCTTTACCACAGAAAAAAATTGCATTGAAATATATTCACTATTGTAGGAGTTATGGCCGTTTGAAAATTGAACCATTTTTATGGGGGTTTTCTCATATTATGGGGTTAAGGAACAACTTTTCGAGTATTTTTGGAATTTCTACATATTCTTCATCAAAATACGCGTTGTTTGCATTTTTAAACATTAAAATCGTTCAATCCGTTCAGGAGTTATGATGTTTTAAAGATTCACACGAAATTTTGGGGAACCATTTCTGTCCACACATTAGATTTTCGGTAAGGAATTTTTTTCTCGAAAGTGCGTAGGATTTTGGGGGTATGTGTAATGACCAAGAATGATTGTAATTAACCCCCCTAGTTAAAAATAATTTTTTTAGAACGATTTGAAATTTCTTTTTTTCGTCGAAAAATTTAAGCACCTGTCAATTTTTCTTTAAAATTTGTTTTTGATTTTTAATAAACACAACTATGGGTAATGTAGTAATACACGGGGCAGTGACTTCTTTGTTTGTGTGAAATATAATCTGTAACATTTACCGAAAAATAGTCGGGGTAAAAATATCTGGTACCTAATAATCGAAATTCTATTATACTCCTCTTTCCCTCCATGTCGTTTCACTTGCCAACTTCTCGCGGACCCACAGTACCTATTAATAGTCTGATGATCTTTATGCAAATTCATATTTTTATTAATAGAATTAATGAAATGGTAGTTTAAAGGGTTGTCTCAACCCCTAAATATAATAATTCCTATCTTTAAGTATTTCTTATATTTTTGCATATTGAGTGCATTCTGTAGTTTGTTGAAAATTTAAATTTCCCATAAATGCATAGTAGTATTTCCAGTGACGATAAATAATTGCTTGGAAATATTTTACACGCGAGGAACACGATACTTTCACGAATTTCCTTCATTATCATTATTGTTCTGTCTGCAGGTCCTTTTGTGTCGGCGCTGGCCAACAGGTACGGCTTTAGGCTGGTGGCAATCCTAGGAAGCGTCATAAGTTGTGGTGCTTTTGTCCTCTCGTATTTCAGCACATCCATCGAGTTCCTTTATATCTCTTACGGCGTCCTCGGTAAGTTCTTTGCCCGATATATTTCTTCCTGTTCGTGTCGTTCCCGCCTCGATAGAAAAGTTTCCCCTTCGTCCCTGTGTTCCATTTTCGCGCGCGGTAAGAATGGTTCCTCTTTTTAAGGGGTTATTCCAACCCGAACATGGAAAACTGACGTTCTTTAGAATTTTATGAGAGATAAACTACGTAAGATACTGGTTGGACACTTTGCACCGTTATTTGTACATGCACTGCTAAGCTACGTGAAATTTTTTATGCAAGAATACGTGATAGTTTTAAAGATGCATACTACGTACGCGATCGTTGTAAAAAGAATGTATTCTTGAGCTACACTCTTCTGGTTGTCTCCGATAAACTAAAGAAATTATTAAATTACGTGAGCGTGATTATGGAAAACTTTGGAGCTGACAAAATGGCAGAGTTTTGAAGCAAATATGTCCATAATTTTGTGAAATATTTTTCAATTCACATCTTTGAAAAATAACTTACTTTTATTCGTTGGTTTTTTCTAAATTGTGTCGACCATATTAAAAACTATCAAAGATTGATTTATTTATTTACAATATAGATTTTTTTAAAGCGGAGATAAGCAACTTTGACAAAGGTTAGACTTAGCTATTTAAAACTATCGTAGACGCGTGAGGAACCTTGCAAAAATTTTGAAAATTGTTGGTGAACGAATAAAGTAGTTGAAACTCTGTTAAAAATATCCTATTCCTCCGACGCTGAATGGCGAATTTTCTAAAATTCGTGGCCAAAATATAAAGCTATCTTAGATTTGGACGAAATTTGGTTTTCATGGTTGTTAATAAAAAGGATAATGAAATACATTGAAAAAATATTAAATTGCGCCCAAGAAAGGATATCACTCAAGTGTCGAACTTCGATTTTGATAAAGCTTGATATTACGTATTTTTTTTTCTGTTGCAAATGTCATATTTAGAGGGTGTTTTCCACCCCAAACACATTTCCTTGAGTATCTCTTAAACGAATGAAGATAGAAAAAAATGTCAAATATAAAAAATGTTTGGTTTTTCATGTGTAATAAGATAGTCTAAATGAAAATATTGCTAAATCATAGGTGGCGCCATAATAAATCGAAAAGTAGCCAATAGTAGCAGATAAATGCAACGAGAGCTTATTTAATAAATTAAAAAATTTATTTTACAAAAAATGCTTGATCTCGATTGATAAACAACTATTTTATTAACAAAAGGAAAGAAATGGTCTTGTAAGTTTTGCATTGCTATCAACCATGAAGCTTCAAAAAGTGGAGTAAATATATTTTATTTTTTCCCCCAGTATTTAAGATTAGGGACTTATTATTAAAGACGACCAAAGAAATCTACATTTAAAAAGTATCAACTTTGCATTAGTATAATTCCAAGAGAACTACATATTACATATTTGTGATATTTCATAAATAAGATGCAATGCATAATGAAAAAGAATTTGTTATATTTCGGCCAGGATTTTAGAGAAATTCGTTACTTTGCGGCGTTTGATCGTTTCCCCTGATTTGACGTGGTCTTTGTGTCTTGGATTGTCAGGAGGCATCGGAGCAGGCTTGATTTACGTGCCGGCTGTGATAACTACCGGATTTTATTTTGAAAGATGGAGAGCCCTGGCCACCGGGATCGCGGTCTGCGGCTCCGGGATCGGTGCCTTCTTGCTCGCACCCATCTCTGACGTGCTCGTCAAGCAGTTTGGATGGAGAGGCGCGTTGCTCTTCCAAGCAGGTAACCAAAACCGGACGATCCCTGCCCTTAAATCTAGCTAATGGAAAAATACCCCCATTCGTCTCAGCAAAACTAACGAGAAAAACTATTGCTCGTTTGGATTGAACTTTTTGGCAACGCTTGAGGACATTTTCAAGCTAGAGAAAACAATTCTCTTCGTGTCGATTCTCAAACAACTCTCAAACTATCAGTTTTAAATTACAAAAAGGATTGCACATTAGGCAATTAAGCAAAGTTAGATAATTGTTTAATTTAGGGGACCTCAACTCCGATTTTGATGATTTTGAAATAAGATTCTGAATAACTTTTTCCCGTACATGTGTGGCGTCGCCTCTCAGGCTCGCCACCAGAGGGGTGGCGCTCTCACAAGCGCTCGACCTACCCCTCGATTGCTATATTGTATACAATCCTCGAACGACTAAGGCAGGGTCTGCTAGGAAGCTTTACTGATGAGTCCACTAGCAGGCCATAGTCTTCGATTTCGAGCTATTTTGATTTAAAGTTTGATACGTACAAAGTAAAAGAATTATTTAAATTTACAGAACAGTATGTGGTTAAGTTGGTAGAGCGATTAACTATGAAGCTTTTGTTAGTGGGTTCGAATCCCCGACAAGTTACTTTCTTTCTTTCATTAATTTGAAATGCAAAAATATATTTGATTTATTATGTACATATGACATAAATATTAAAACAATAATCCTTCAATTTTTAATACAAAAAACAGTAGTAAGTATAGCAATAAAACAGCATTGTACGTCATTATCAAATAAATTCTGTATTAGTCATTCGTATCGTCAGTATTGAGGCTTTTAATTTTCAGACATACTTCAAATACAGAATTTATTTGATAATGATTAATACGAATGACTAATATAGAAAAATATATGCGACATATTCTACGACTGTACTTACTACTGTTTTTTGTATTAAAAATTGAAGATTGAAAATTGATAAATAAAATATATTTTTGCATTTTAAAATAACAAAAAAAAAAGTACCCAACTACCAAAAGCTTCCTAGCTAATCGTTCTACCGACTTAACACACATCTTTTCCATTAAAATAACTATAACTAATTCCCTTATTACGTGCATACTAAACTTTAAATCAAAGTATCTCGAAAACGAACGCCCATTGAGAAAAATCCAATTAGGGTTTTTCGATACTACGTATGTGCTATAACTTGCTGTCGTTTCAAAATCAATTTTTACTACTGCAAGGCTCCCTTGTTAGCGACCGATTCTGTGGAAGAAACGGCAAACGCTCCCGGATCAGAAAGTCGTCGTGAATTTTCCAGGCATGCTGTTGAATTGCGCGATTTTCGGCGCGATGTTCCGGCCGTTGAAACCGACGAGGATCAAGGTGAAGTCCACGCCCGAGAACGCTGGCTTACAATTAGAAACAAAGAGCAGCCTAATGGCGAGAGGGGTGTCCACTGCTTCGTTGCACTGCGTGCAGCCAGCCAGAAGCGGTTTCTTCGGCACCAACAACAACACGGAATACCCCACGGCTGCGGAGCTGCTGGGCAGCAACCCCAACATAGTATAGTAATAAATTTCATCTATTTTTTTCTACTTACACCGCGTCAGAAACCCGGAAACATTCGATTATTGCGCGTTTTCGATAAAACGATTTCCAAACCATTTTTTCAATTTAATAGTTTCCAAATATTTTGCAGATATTCGAATATTAGCTCTATATAACTCCATTATTTACTCTTTGTCAATGGCGAGGTTATTCACTCGTCATCAACTCTTATATATTAATATCAACACATTTTTATATTCACAAAGTATTCGTCAAACTAATTTTGAATATTCGAATGTTAACTCTACATAGTTCTATTATTAACTCCTTGACAATCATGATGTTACTCGTCATCAACTCTTATATATTAATATCAACACATTTTTACATTCACGAGGTATTCGTAAAACAAATCTTTTTCGTGGCCATTTTTTGTACGATTTTAAACAAAATTAAATAGTATACATTTGTGTGGCGCGCATATGGCCGCACGATGGCGCTTTACGTGGGAGTACTAGGTTAACCGTAGGGGAACCCCAAGTGAAGCTCGCCACGCGGTCGCGGGGAATCTCGTGCGTGTATATTAACCCCTTAACGCTCGTATTTTTCGGGTTAACCAACAATGATCAGTTCTCTTTATTGGATTTGTTTCTAAAAATATGGTTTTTTTTAATTACAATGTTGTATCTGACGTATAATTTGAAGGAGAACAAATATTATCATCCCTTAAACCGTTGGATTAAACAAATATTGCTTTTCAAAGCAGTCAGACTCCGGCATGAACGTTAAGGGGTTAATATCGACACAATTTTATCAATTTCGCTGTATGATTTATTTACTTGAATAAATTACATTCTTTATTATTATCAGACCACAATTTGAAAATTTGGAATTAAATCGTATGTCAAGTTAACGTATCCACGTAGATGCAAATGTCGGAGATTTGTCTATATTTTCTCAAAAATTTTCGTTACAAAACTACATTTTATATAAATTCAAATCTATCAGCTAACGACTGTGTTTGAAAATGGCTTTCTGAGTCGATCGAACCAGGATACTGTATATCGTGTAGAATAATTTTAATGGGGCTAGTTTAATCAACGATTTTTCAACGTAGAAGTTTGATTCCTCGAATCTTCTCGTTCCAGCACCTCGAAGTCCTTGCACTCTCTGCACAAGGTCCACGTGGAATTACAAGCGGAGAGAAAGCTGAGCAGCTCGGAGAAACGGCTGTCCGTCCCGATCTATCCCGAATTGGACGTCACCATGGACGACAAAATCGCGGAAGAGGAGAACAATCTTCTCGGTGGCGACGTGGAAAGACTGAACGGCAAAGTGCCCACGGTGAGTCCCACCCTATCGATTTTGACAAAATCAATCTTCCCAACAGATTCGGTTCGAAACAATTATTTTCGAAACCTTCTCGAGTCCTGAGTCGATAACGTAGAGAAATGACCCTTCGTTTCGAGTTAGATCGGCAATCTATTACGCTATGAATATATAATCTGATACTTCAAGGGTCGTTAGGGATCTCGGTTCGCGATAGAAAATTCTCGTTTCGCTGGTTCGAGTGGGAAACTCGTGACTAACAAACTCGCTGATCGATCAGCGCGCCATAATGTTCGATAGGTGATAGTTTGCGGAGATAATGGATCGTTTATGGCGGTATCCCGTGCCAACTGGAATTTATTTACTAGCAATAACAGTGTGGCCCGATTAAACGGAGGATATTGTTGGCAGATTCGCAGGCACACGATTAGCGGCAGACGCCTTCGCGCGGACTCGGAATGCAGCCAAAAGTCGCTGAAAGTGGGCAACAGGCGGAATCCGTTCAACAAGGATCCGCAACGGCCATTTTACAGGGACGACATTTTTTACGGCGGCTCTTTGAACAGGCTGCCCCATTACAAGTCCCAGGTGAGAGTTAATTAGCCAATTTACTGGTCGTTTCGACAACAAAAAACGCTTCTTGTTCATTCTATTCATAACTGCACAGAGTCAACTTCTTCTGATATTATGAGAAAATACGGAAAATTGGAGAATTAACCTTTATTCGGTTAAACAATTCTTTTCGTCAAATACGAGTTCAGAATATAATCGTCGGTAAAGCTATTGAACGAAACATCTTTTTATTTAAAATGCATTTAAATAAAAAGTATCGGTATCTTAGGCCACCATCTTGGTTCTTTAGAATGCTTCTATTGTTATTAATCTCTTAATTTTTTAATTATATTACGAAGTAGTGAACGATTTCTCTCTTCCATTGCGTTCTGGAATTTTTCCAATCTTCTGTTATAACTTTTTTACAGTGTGTAATTGTTATGTTTTTAAATACAATGCTGGATAACTAAAAAGAGATTATCAAACGTGAAAAATTACATTTTCTCTTACAAGTAAAATTCACTTTAATTTAATTTAAGAAAGCTATGTCCCATTTTAATTAGTATATTTTAAAAGCACTTTTATTATCGTTAATGAAGTATCAATGAATAAGACATTTCGTCTAGTCTGGTACTCCTGATCGAGACAATAAGATTAGGGCCAGTTGCGAATAATGTGACGTAAGTTTCCGGTAGATTAAAAAATTGCGTTAATTGGGAACGATGAAATTATCGACGACGATCCTCATAGCAATCGTCTGTGGGCTATCACATGTCGGTCACCCGGTTGCCAACGGCCACTGATGTGGCTGAGGAGGAAAGCGGAAGTTGTTACATCTGCCCCGAAAGCGTGCGGCGGATCCTCACGACTATGCTTGATCTGAGCCTCCTGAAGAGCCCCTCTTTCCTCATCCTGGCGATCTCTGGTGGACTCACTATGATGGGCTTTTATACACCCTTCATGTACCTTCCAGGTACCGTATCAAAACTTATCGCATCTGCAATAACCTGAAACGACGATCAGATTAGCCCTCGAACGGTGTCCGTGACTTTTCACGAGCATAAAAGTTGCAGGATCCAAAATGGCGCCATAGTCGAAAGCGCCCAAGTCATTGTAATTTGAAAAGAATATCACCAATATTTTAATTTTTGTGCGATCAGCAATTTTAATAAATTTTAATAGAATAAATGTCACGGCACACGATACGAGGTGCAATTGTCAAAAATGGCGCCGGAGTTGAAAGCATCCAAGTCATTACTCTGTTGCAATTTGAAAAGAATATCACTAATATTTTAATTTTTATACAATCAGCAATTTTAATAAATTTTAATAGAATAAATGTCACGGCACACGATACGAGGTGCAATTGTCAAAAATGGCGCCGGAGTTGAAAGCATTCAAGTCATTACTCTGTTGCAATTTGAAAAGAATATCACCAATATTTTAATTTTTATGCAATCAGCAATTTTAATAAATTTTAATAGAATAAATGTCACGGCACGCGATACGAGGTGCAATTGTCAAAAATGGCGCCGGAGTTGAAAGCATTCAAGTCATTACTCTGTTACAATTTGAAAAGAATTTCACCAATATTTTAATTTTTGTGCAATCAGCAATTCTAATAAATTTTAATAGAAAACATGTCATGACACATGATACGAGGGGCAATCGTTCGCGATCTATAACGTATTATAAGTTCGAAAATAAATTTTGCGAACTGTATCGTTCGAAGACAGAGTCCAGTTTAAAGTTCAGAAATTTAAAAACTAGAAAATTCCTTAATAGCTGTATAATTAACTTTCTAGAGTATGTAGGGCGTCTGAAAAAATAAATAGAGAAATAGAAGATTGCGAATTAGCTATAATTAGAATAATACATTCTACAGATTATTTTTTGAGATACTTTAAATCTATAAAGACTAGAATCTTTAATCTCTTCGGGAGCAAATTATTTTCTTCCTAATAAATATTAATGCAAATTCATCAATTTTTTGACAATGCTGCCATGTGACGCTATTGAAAAATTTAGCTGTGAACATTCATAACTCTAGTGGTTACTATTGCGATGTAATATTCAAAATAACATAAATACTAGACATGCACATATGAGTCAGTATCCTTGAAGGGGTTCAAACTCTATTAAATGGAATTTGCAATCCAACTACAATTGATTCCATAATGCAAAAACGAAAGTTTTTAACAAATTTCATTTAAAGCTAGGATTAGATACCCCGTTATAAAAATTAATCGACGGTTGTTGCACGATCGTTGCAGATCGAGCGAAGCTCGCAGGGATAGAACCATCCACAGCGATGTTCCTGGTCTCCGTGATCGGTATTGGCAACACCATTGGTCGTGTTGTCTGTGGTGTAGCGAGCAGCTTACCAGGCGTTGACGCGTTGGTAGTCAACAACATATTTATCAGCGCTGGTGGACTCCTAACCGTGATATCCGGGCTGTCGCTCACCCAGAGCTACCAATTCTTCTACGCTGCCACCTTCGGTATCAGTATATGTGAGTAAAATCTTCGTTCTCTATTAAAGAACGCTTCTGAACCGATCGTCAACCCGTACTTCTCATTCTGTAACTTCTCTTCGCAGCTGTTTTCGCCTCTCTGAGATCGATCCTCGTGGTGGACCTCCTGGGCTTGGAGAAATTGACCAACGCTTTTGGATTGCTTCTTCTGTTTCAAGGCGTGGCGGCGGCCATAGGCGCGCCTCTTGCAGGTGATTAGAAATTATCGATCACTTTATTTTCAGGAAGCGTCGCACTACCTACTAAGAGGAGCTATAAACAATGCCTCTGAAGGAAACTCTTTCTTTCAACAAACTCCAAAACTAAATCTTTATTAACCCTTTGCACTCCACTGGCGCCCTAATGACAACAAACATAATACGTACCATAGCTCGATTCAAGTTTAATTGAAGTTTAAAAGAAAATTAATAAAATTTAAATTATAGGTGTTTATACATTTTTGTGTAAAAAAGAATATTTTTCTATTTTTAAATGTCACATCACGAAATTGCTAGTTCATATTGATAAAGACTCTCGGAGTGCAAAGGGCTAAATTTAACGGATTGTTTGGTTAAATTAGAAGACGGACCAGTAATTCCGAATATACGTCGATAAAAATTACTTCATTCGGGGCCATTCTCTTCAGCTATCCAGTATACCGTGCGTAGCAATAATGCATCGTTCGATCTTAATTCTGGATTCAAGCAACGTTCGCCTATCACGATACCCAATCGATGCAATTAATTCTCACGGCGATACTTGTCGAAAGCAATTACGCAACCGTTTCGGAGCATTGTTTTAAATGCACCGTTCACGCGACGAACGACTGACCTTGAGGTACAGTACTTGGAGATAATAGTTCCCGGCAATCGTCGATTCAGATTTTAAGCATATTTGCACAACGTTCGAGTCTTACCTCGACGCATAACATTATGATTTCTCTTGACTTTTCTGATTTAGCGAAAGATCGTTGATACGCTGCGTATGTAGGCTGTCAAAACTATTAGATTCGCGCAAACACGCTCGACGGTTATCTAATCTGCGGAATGACAGGAATTTCGCGACGTTTACCGTGGAGAAACAAAGTAGAAAGTTAATCTGTTCGTAAACATTCACTCTAAACCGTTTTATTATCGCTGGTCGGATACGACATTCTGTCGGCTCGTTCGCGATTTACTTATTTCGTTTGTTTTCGTTCCGATAAACGACGAAGACCAACTTTGTACACAACTTTCAATAACATATAAACATTTTAATTGGATACAAAAGCAGAAGATATTTATGTAATAATCAAGCAATTTTAATATCGGAATTGCGATACCTTGTGCAATGAAAAAGTTCACATTTGTTCGCACGAAGTTAATAGAAAATTGGATTCCTCTTAAAGTATGTAGATGAAGATAACGAGGCTCGATAAGAACATCTGATGTTGTTTAAAAGAAAGATTTAATCTATTCTGTGAACCACGAATACTGTCGAGCATGTTTATCATTGGAGTGTAGTGACTCTCAAAAATTATTTTTATTTAACGAGTAAAACAATATCAAGCAAGACGAAGTAGTTCAAGTTGTGTTACAATATAATAGAATTTGCGTGGAAATTCTTCGAGTCGAATGGAAGGCGTTTCGTAAAGCCTAGAATTCTCAAGAAAAAGAAGTTGACCTTCGCGTCTAATTTACACCTACACTAACGAAAGAACTGCTGTTACCCTTGAAACCAAGCAAAATTCGTTGGAATAATTTTTAATGAACAAGTCGAAGTCTCAAGGAACTCGCACAAACATCAATTGCTGCATTTGCAAACCATGATCGAGACATTCGAAAACATTCCGTTGAAAGAGAAACAATCGAATGGTAACGATCAGGGGATTCACGAAGATGTTTTTTGACTCGTTTAGGCGTTTTCATGGACGCCACCGGAAGCTACGACGCCTCGTTCTACCTGTCGGGGAGCCTGATCTTCGTGTCCGCCTTGATCTGCTATCCCCTGAAGAGGATCAACCAGTGGGAAACGGGGAAGAGCAACGAGCAGGTAGCGGACGATCCCTCGAAGTCTTGATCGTGATCGAGAACCGTCTTGCCACCCATAGACTGAGGTCTATTCCGTTCGCTGTCGGGCGATGTGTTTGTACATACTAATGCGTAATAATTTATAGCGAGCTAGCTCGTATCGGTAATTAATCCGCGCCGTAGCGGCGACGGGAGAGCGTACGCGATCGACCAGCCAATCGGGGACTCCGAAACGAAAGGTCTCCGATGTCTGAAACGGTCCAGCGTTCGAGCTAGTGCAATAGGCAGATCAGCTTCGACTTCGCGACACGGAGGAAAGCGAGTCACCGTCCAAACGAGAACTTTCGCGTCGTGGACCAAAGGCCTCGATCCACGAGGAACGCCCAAACGCCGTTCCCACCTGTAAAACGTGAGATAACGATAACAGCAACGCGTCTCTGTCGTACCAAACTTGTACCCATGAAATTATAATCGGGTGAAAACAATGCAAAGGCGGGGAACAATTACCGCGACTCAGCCTTCGAGCAGCCATTTTATTCACGAGATCTAGAGTTTCGAATCCTTAACGTCAGATTTTCATGCTCACGGTTACGGAACATGTAAAAATTATTTGCTTGTAATTATCTAATCAAGAGAAAAACTATTTTAACGCATTAACGACGGGGCATTTTTAGTAAAACTTTCCTATACGACGGGTGATTTTAATGATGTAGAATTCCTGCAACGTGTGATAAGTATTTTTGTAATTTAATATATTCTATTGAAATTTTCAGGAGTTATACGTGGATGATATTAGAATTTTTTTTCCCGTCGGTGATGTGTTAATCATCGATGTCCGTAAACATGGCGTTATAATTGCCCATTTCTGCGCAGAGCACGCTCGAAACAGTATCAAATTCTTCTTTCGTCGAGCCTTCGAGGATGTTCTGCGTCGCGTGTTGTCGCATAGGTGGGAACGTGGATTCTCGAACAAAGTTCTCAGTTTCCGCAGAATGTTAATCGTCGCGAAACCAGTTCCCAAACGCGTGACTTCTTTTATATTCTGAGGGGCTTGTCGCGCGCTCCTACGCCATTTGCAACAGAAGTCTGCGACAATTGGTCGAGGCGGTGAGACATTTTATTAAACGTAGTGTATTAAGAGAGAATATATCGAATGTTAATCGTCGACGCGTCGTTTTAAGAAAATTGTTTTCGAACGTTCCCTCGGTGCTACCATAATCAGGCAGCCGGTTAATATTGATCTTCGAGGGTCATAATTTTATACACATATAGCAGAAGAGTACTCGAAATACATAAGACTTAAAAAAATAGCTTTTCGTAGTAAAATATTACACGCACATAATGGTCCAGTATCGGCCCTGTTTGTTACAACAAATTAATAATCCGTGAAGCTTCCTACGAAGAATTTCGTTTCTAGACAATCGATAATCATGTGATCAAAGATTTCTCGTAGTACTTATTTTTCTGAACTCGTTAAAATTCACGAATTTAATGCAGATTTATTTTTGTTAACGTCTCGTTCTCGAGGATTTAAGGCCGTAGAGAAGAGATATGTCCAATTGCGGGCGACGTAGCAGTCAGCGAGTTATAGAGAATTATAAAGGAGTTTTACACGCAACATGACCAACAGATTATATACTCTTATTGTTAGACACAAGCGTGTTTGCGAGTTAGATAAGCACCCGTGATCTTTAAACATCGATCTATTTTTGCTATAATTACGTGCTGCTGAGAGCAAACTGCTATGTATACGATAGCGTACTCTAGTTACCTTCTAACGGGTTCCGCGATAGCCACGCCTATTTTCATTTCTTATATAGTGGAACAATATGTTTTGTAAGTTTAGTTCGAATTCAAGGTCACTTGTTTTTTTATTTCTGCATATCCTACGCGAGTAGAACGTGGAAAGTTGCGAAGAAACAGTCCATCGAAAATGATCCGTCTTCCCACGAAAGTTGTTAAAGCTTTGGCTAATCAGAATCCGTGGCGTTGGTTCCACTGTGTCTTCCACGTTCGTAAACACCAATGTTATTCGTGTGTACTCGTAATAACAGAAGATAAAGGGATTACGTTTTTCTTTCAGGGTCAATTTTATAGAATTTAAATATTCGATACCAGTTTATTACGAGAAAATGCTTTTTATAGCTTTCATAGATGAAATTGAAATTTATGTGACAAGAAGATGGAACTTTTCGAAGGAATTGTTTTTAAAAAATGATTTATTCTACCCTCTTTCAGGGCTAATTTTATAGAATTTGAATATTCGAAACGTTACTAGTTTATTACGAGAAAATGCTTTTTATAGCTTTCATAGATGAAATTGAAATTTATGTGACAAGAAGATGGAACGTTTCGAAGGAATTGTTTTTAAAAAATGATTTATTCCACCTCCACATTGTCGTAGGGATAGTTATAGTGTAATATTTGTCTTGTAAATCCCCACTCTAGAGTTTAATAATTTCATCTCCAATAATACAGAAGACAGAGACACTAGAAACATTAACAATCTACTGTCCCTGCAGCCATCTCCCAAACGCACAGTACAAATCGTAACGTTTTATTTCCACAATCAATTTTGCACAAACATGAACAATTTTTTATAGAGATATTCGAACTCGATCTCCACGAATTTGTATCCTGCATCTTGTGTAGAGTACGTAGAAGATAAAAAGAATTTGACCTCGAATTTCCATTTCGAATCGAATGTATAGGCTTCCTCAGAAGTCTTTAGCATTATGGCCTACACTTTGTACGTTATCGTCGTCGATAGCGCGAGGTGTTCCGGAAGCCACACATAGCTTCCGGGTTACCTCACGAGTTATATTTCTATTATGATTAAGTTCACGATCACGCGACCAGTACGTTAAAGGCGTATGTACTTGCACGAACGAGTACGCGTAATCTCGATAGACAGCGCTGTTAGGGTATCCCAGAAAATATTGCATATTTCGAAACGGTGCAATATATGCTTCAACAGTTGTTAAACTTCGATGAGCAATTAAAACATTTCGTGTCCTCCCCTTCCTTGAAATTGCGAAACGCCCTCTAGTCATAACTGTCGAATCATCGAATGCAAAATTTTTTATAATCGGTGCAAAAAGAATTTTAATTTGAAATAGGTTTGAAAATAACCAGGATGCATGGTACCTGAAATATGCAATATTATCGAGGGAATCGTAACGATTATAGGGTTAATTAACTATTCGATATCCGGCGCTCATGGTCCGGACGATGGCCCCCTGTGGGCGCGAGGACTTGCTCAAAAATGAAATCCGTTCCTAGTGTTCCTAATTAATTATCTACCTTAGTATTTAAAAGCTGATGCAATCCGTCTTGAAGCGCGATCGTCGCCAGTCGCGCGCCATTTTGAATCGTCGGACTGGTCTAACCTTAATTTTTAAACGCAGCGACGTTTTGTCTGTGTTTCTATACGGGGCCTGCAGTATTCGGGAATGATTCCTCGCGACAAAATAAATCGAGAATCGTTGGTTAGGGACACGGACGCCATATTGGTTCCTCGACTAGGAGATTTAATTTTCTCGACGACAGAAGCCACGCGCGAGTAAAATGTATTCCGTGATTTCGATTCAGTTTTGGACGAGGAATCGTTTCGTTTATGCCACGAATCACGACGTGCCTTGTATAAAATGTATCATAGCGTGTGGCGATCGTTCACATTTTAAGCGATGCCCAAACGTTGCAATACATCCTGTACACAATAAAAATAGACACGTAAGAAGTAAGAAGTTTACTGTTTCACTCGTTCAAAAGCTTTGCAGTCTGGTTTAATACTATAGTGTTTATGCAAATTAAGTAGTATACTTTTCTATTGGATTACAAGTAACGATAAATAAAGTTTCATCCGGATTGGGCAACAATAACGGAAGTTATAGGAAGGTCACAAACACACAGACTTTTAATTTTATATTAATAATTCGTTGTTTCGAGTTTTTATTTACATAAACATTCTTCCAGATAGAGCTGCGAATACGATAACGAGCGATAAAAATATTAACTCTAAAAAGTATGTTAAGAGAAAACGGATTTTCCATGCTGATCGCGCGTCGCCTTCTGCGTTTCTTTTAACCTGCCACTCCTATCCAGCATTGGAGTCGCAACGTAATTCTAGAGGCTCGTGACGTTATAAATTATTTATCGTCGGGTCGATCGTTCGTATACGCGATCGTTGAAACGCTCGACGATGTCTAATTGGTTACGCTTTCTTATCTTTCATTACCAGTAACAACTACTCTGTCGTTTTAGAATTTATTAGACTACGGTACGGCTTCATTAATCGCCGTGTTTTGTATTTCTTTACGCGTTCGTGTCGGTTTGCTTCAGAATTGCAATTAGTCGAACGGTAACTATGCTTCCGGTATAAACAATTTAAAATACAATTTCCATTCTGTCGCCCAGAAATCAACTAAAATATTTCTCATCCAATTTCTATTTTTACTTTTATGGTACATTAACACTAAACCTACTGACACTTCATGTATATGTATCTAGGTAACATACTTCTAATTTTTGCATTATATGTATAGAAAGTTGTGTTTTGAAGTTTCTTTCATAAGATATCTTCCTCTTATATATTGCATATTTTTTTTACAGCATGCATTTTAAAAATTTGTACAAAAATATTCGATACTTTTACTCTAAATGTGCATATTCCATTTCAAATAGAAAATTTACAAACTACGTCGAAATTTTTTAATTTTCATCATATAGAAGATAAAACTTGAAAACGAATTTTGCTTCCAGTCGATACCGTAATTAATTTTGAAGAAAACAATTATTTATGAAAAATTAGTGTTTGTGATTACACAAACATCCTGTGTTCAAATTTAAATTCATTTTCAATTAAATAAACAATTTATAATCGAGTTTTATCGCACACCAGTCTTATAATCAATAGGAATTGCTGAAACTTCTTTGAGTGCATAGTGTCAAAGTAAATATTATAGCGTTAAAATAAATATAGAAGGCAGCATAAATGGTAATAGTTGATATAGTCATCGGATAGAGGATGAAATGCCCTTTAAAATGAGCGTTCATTCAAGTCGATCGCTTAGTTAGTTCCGGAGATATAAGGGTTGAAAGCGTTTGTTTACTTTTTGTTGTTGACAACAACGCGAGGTCAATGACCTTGCGCGTAAATAGTAAAAAATTACCCCTTTACATGAATTACGATATCTCCAAAACGGATAATCAGATCGAAATAAACCAAAAACCATTTCAAAAAGGAAGCTTTGCCGCTTCTAACGGTGGCTCAATTGTGCAAAAAACATTAGTAGTTTTGGAACTTCAGGCGTCTAAAGTTTTAGTATTTTTAATACGCTTTAATAGAGTCTTGTAAGACGAAGAGCTTAAGATACCATCCTTTTATTTTTGCTATATATTTCCTATTTACAACTGAAGCTAGCCAGAATTTGATATCAAATTTGGTCTGTTTCATTACAAAATAATATAAATCATTCAATCAGTAGGCAAGTAGTGATAGAAAAGACAGACTACATATTTTTCTCAGAAAACAAACAATAACGAATAATAGTATGTTAGAAATTCTAAACGAAACTTTAAAAACGGTCATTTGACCGGTCGTGGGTTTAGTGTTAAACCACCAAAATTGTACCAAACGATTTTCGACCCTTGTTTGAGCGATCTTCAGCCCGACGAAAAAGTATAAAAATTGTAGTATGCGAATAAATATACAATAATATAATTGTAAACGTGCGAATACTGTTTGAAAATAGTTAATATTAAGAAAAAGCTTTCGATTTTCGTGGCCCCCGCGAGTCCTGCAGCGACCATAAACGTTTCCTGTTCCATGCCTGTGCAGCAAAAAGAAGTCAGTACGGACCCGTTAAATACGGGAGCGATCATTATGAATTCAACAAGCACGATTCGCTTGATATTCCCCGCTCGTTCCGTTCCTCTTTTCACGCTCCTGTAAGTTCCCCCGTGCAAGGTGAATCTGTATCAAGGAATTTTGTATGAAAATTCTCGCGTTGCCGCAGTATGTTCCGGTCGGGGAACGCGTCCCGACGTAAGTTCAAAGAAGAAGGTCGTCGAAAAGAGGAGCGGTGTTTAACGAACGGCAATAATTTATGCCGGGGCATGGTCGCGCGTGGAAAAAGCTCGTCGCGAAAAGACACGGAGACTTCCGAGGCGGGCGCAATGAACAAAGTCATAAATACCGAAGGGCGGCAATTCCGTTTTACGGACCGAACTTCGCCTGGGTCCGATTAAATTGCTCTTTTCCTCGCTGCTATTGCTGCTCGACTCCGCCATAGATAATTGAAAAAAATGCGGCCCCTTGTTTGGGTGGTGTGGCTACAGAGGTCGAGAAAGAAGGTAAAGTTTCTGATTCTTCTTAACAGAACAAGCGTACTGTTTATTAACGTCTTAATAATACTTTTAATGTTAAGTAAAGGAAAAGAACAGGGAAATTGTATCAGAGATTATTTTTTTTTCTTGTTACTAGTGGTAAGCGATCTATTTTAAGCGAAAATATTTTTAACGTTCGGTAAATGAAACATCTTTATTTTGGGTAGGTATAAATTATTGAGAATGTTGGAAACGAGCTACGATATTGAAATTGTCATGTTGCAATGTATACGTCGCCATATTGGAAATCATGCTGACAATAGGAAAGTAAGACTGAAAAACAGAGAATTCAGATCGTTATCATGTTTATAATTACAATCAGAAATACAAATAAAAATAGCAGAATAAAAGGTACATTTTTTTACTCGATTTTAACCCTTGAGTGGATTCTCAATCTCAACTGAATTATATTTTACTTAATGTCGATTTGTACCAAATTGGTAAATGGAAATCAACTTTCCTTCAAAGCATTTTAAAAATAATTAAATAATGGAGAATTACATGAATTTTCAAATAATTACATCGACATATATTAAATTTGCAGGAAGCCACAGCGGTCCCAATAATCCACTTAAGGGTTAAGGAATGTCAATTTTAACAAATTTCGAGTTTACATTTGTTTTTACCGCGACTTAAATATTTGTGTAATGTTACAGTTATAAGAGATTGCAGCGTACGATAAAAAGATGGAGAACGTCGAAGAAGACCAATGCAAAAAATATGAAGTTTCCACAAAAACCTTAAAACCTTAAAATCTGACTTTTCCTCCTTTTCTGTGGACTTTTCGTGCGTTTGGTGTTAACTCATCGGGACAAATTCTATAACGTATGGGAGCGAACGAACTTAATGGATACTCCATAGAAGGTTACGAAGCACATTTTGTATCGGAGAGTTAGATGGAAGTAATTGCCTTGCAAGCACTGTAGAGTAATTATTGTTCTCTGGGACGGAGAGTGGGAGGGGCGAATGTACTCGTAAAGTTGGGGACTGCGGCTGAGAAGCAAGTAACAGTTTTGGACACATTGTTCGCTGATTAACGAACGAATTATTTGCAAAAGTGCAATAAGAAGAAAATAATTATTGAAAATGATAGTGTTTCGAGTTCGAACGAGTAATTTTGTGTAAAAACGGGACGATCAGTTTCGTGAAACGCGCCGAAGAGAGTAGTCGTTGAGATAATCGAGGGCCCTCGAACACCATCGATTCAAAACAAACAACACTGTGTAACCACTTGGAAGAGTTATCGAGCGCGCCAAATCTCGTACCGTATCCGCAGTAAACACTGATTCTCAGCCGTCGAAGGACCACTCGAAAAAAAAGAGGGTCAGCCTGAGCACGGGGCGAAGCTCAACGGACTGAAAGAATTCGCCGAAAGAGCTCGCGTGCCTCGGAGCATCGCTTTTCACCGGTAGGTTCAGGAAGAAAAGGATCCAGGCGATCAATTTTATCCACCGTGTCTGCAAGGAAAGCCAGTTCACCCGCCAGGCGTCTAAAGAATGCATGCTCGGGGAAAGGAGGGGGGGAAGGGACAATTAACTATCTCGCGAGATTCGCGCTGAGGAAAAATCTCTCTCGCCAGTTTCGACGTGGACTGACCTAATGGAGGCCACGGGCACGACGATCGGGGCTGGACAAAATTTTATTAGCTGCCTCGATATCCTTGCAATCACTTTAATCGTTCGAGTAGTCGCCATTGTGTTCGACAATATTTCTCAAGTTGGAGTTTGAAATTGGAAATAGGTAACGTTGGGAGAGGGTGCAGGAAAAGAATTTATTTTTAAAGATATTTAACATTTCATTTTTGTTTGATCGTGGATTATTTTCAAAAAAAAAAACGAAATAAAGTTTTGATCATGTCGGACACGTGTCTGATTATTTTTGCTGTAGAATCACTAGAGAAGGTTTGGATACAATCGGTGACATCTCGTCTGTGAAAAGATATCAGTTATCGTAAAATATGCTTGATCTCGCTAATAATTCTCCATTTTATCCCAGTCACGATCTCAAACTTCATCATCGAGTACGTTCGCCGCGAATAGTCCCCCTCTATCCCCTGAGAAATAATACGTACTTCTCGGTACTCATAAAATGATTACCTCCATCTAACTCTCCAGCGTAAACCGTGCTTCAAAACCCTCCCTGAAGCACCCATTAAGTTTGCTCAAACGTCCCCCATTCGCCCCCTTCTCTACAGAGTTGTCCTCGCGAAGGGTTGCGCAGAGTGATCGAAACTATGGCAGGCAACAAAGGTACGAACCATGAAACAGTTATGTATACAGTTGTCAATTACTACTGTTATGAACTAATAACACTTGGTTATCAGCTGTGCGCA